GTCTCAGTGAGTGTTTCTGCCTCGCGAGGCAATCACAAGTGATGGGAGCAAGCAGTAGTTAAGCCTCAGGCAATCAGTTGTCCAAATTACGGCTTGACAGTTCGAAGTCTGGATTTTATGCATGGACAGGTGATGCCTCGCCTCCTTGCCCATTGTCCCCTTCCAAAGCACATTCATTACGGCTGTTGGTTCGCGATGAAGGAGAGTGGGAGGAGGAGGAGGAGGAGGAGAAGAGATAGGGAGCGAATGGATCGGATCGCCTTCAAGAACAGTTCTTCTTTTCACCTCCATCCCACCACCACGTTATGATGCTGAATGCAAAGGCTACGAGACGACGATCACCCTCCACGTGTTCTCCTTTGAATAAGTTGAGAAGCTAGGTTATCAACTGACCCACCAAATGTCAGTTGTGAACCTCCCCATTTCTCCAAAGTGAACGCAAGTTCACCACCTTCACTGCTTGCTTCGATCACGCACACCTTTTCGCACACTCCTTCAATCGCTCACTCGTCCAACATCCGTCAGTCACCATCGGTTTGTGTCTTGGACAGAGTTTGTTCCCTGCTCCGCCCATTGTGACGCCATTTTGTCGAAGTTCAGTCTTTCCATCGATGCAAGCAAACCTGTGAAATGCACCATTTTTTCCTCACCAATTTGCCTTGCATTTGCAATTCGCCTTCCCATTTGTCGGTTGGGACAGTAAACCCTTCAAACAAATTTCTAACTCTTTTTCCCAACTTCCATATCTGGCAGTTGTGACACCCGAAGTGCTTTGTTACGATGAGGGGGTGAAAGTGAATTTTATTAAACTAATGCATTAAATTTAACTTTGTTCCTCCCTCATATGCCGTTGTGACGCTGTGCTGTGAATGGAGGTTGTAACTTTTCTGAATGCTACAAGAAAGAGTTGTGCAATGACCGAGTGCCTTCATTAATTGCTAGCCCTCATAGAAATGCGTGTGTGTGTGTGTGTGTGTTTGTGAGCACAAGAGGATTGTGTCGAAATTGTGCGGTTTGTTGGGTGTGGAGGACGATAAGGCTCCGTCAAGTTGGTGCACTGTCCTCACTGATGCTAAAACCGAGATGGCAGATGGAAAGGAAGGTCATCGAGCAGCAGATGAGGAAGTGCATTGCAGTATGTAGG